AAAAAAAAAAAAAAAAAAAAAAAAAAAAAAAAAAGTGCCTTAGAAATTATTGAACCGATATATTGGTTATATTGGTTACTATACAAGTTTTGATGCATTTAAAAGAACTGAAAAAAAATGGAAAATATTGAGTAAAAATGCGTTTAAATCTTTTTGCACTTTATAAAAATCTAGAAATCTACTACTTTTTTTGAAGAAACAGTTGATTGCATGTGATTTGTTCTTTTTTCTTCCTCTTTTTGTAAGGGACATGGGATGGGGGTGAAGAAGATATAGCCTCCCCAAATTTCCATCATTTACGATACATTGAGTTGTAGAAGGGAACTGCTGTCTGATAGCAGCTCTGACACTGATCCTCCTGATGATGTGTTGATTTTAAATTGTTGCATAAATGAAATGTATATAAATTTAAGGATTTGAAATCTGAGAAATAATTGACTACAGTTTTTTATGATTGTTGATCAGCTTTTTTTTTTACGTTCGAAATGCTTTCCTTCAACTGTTTTTCTGCTATTTGTTTAATTTCGCAGTTACAGATCAGCAAAAACAACAACAAATTGGAAAATGGAAATTCAGTGAAATCAGAAATCTTTTACGCTAAACTAACGTTTTACCAATTACGTGTGGTATCATTGATGTGTCAGTTTTAATCCAGAGTATATGGTGTTGGAAATTGTAAATAAAAACATGTATAAGTGCAAAAATTGAAGAAGTTTTTTTGCCGTTTACTTTTAGAAAGGAAATAGATTGTCAGTAACGTATACATTTGAAAGTCAAGTCTTTTTTTTTCTTTTTTTTTTTTTTTACAGAAACTAATGACGATAGGGGCAAAAATTGTAATTTAAGTGTTATAGTGACGATAAGCCTCGTCAATGATAAATTTTTACTGTCGTTAGTATAATGATAATCGTTGCATTTGGTTATGGTCTTATAGAAAAAATAATAACGACAATTGCTCCTTTCAAATCATACTTTATCAGTGTTACATTTATTTGCTTTTTCGTTTAATCTTTCTCAAAGTGCTTAATGACAGCGAACAACCGATATACATCTAATTTAGGTAGATCTTCTTGTTTTTCTGCTTTTTTTAATAATAGATCAACAGCAACTGATACGCCGGTTTACCAACGTTGCTTCATCAGTTGTGCTTCAGTTTCACCAATTACAGCTGTTGACCAGTCATCTGTAGGAAATTTTTGGTGCAGAAGACAAGGAACCAGTTATGCTTTTTAACAATCTACTTATTTTTTTACTGCTTTTTTTTTGGAAAAATTAACAGAACTAGTGGAAACTTCCTTTTTTTTCGATTTTTATTTTACAACCAAGAAAATTAGTCGAATTCTGATTGCTGAAATGAATTAAAATTTAAGATTACGATCAGAAAAAGGGAGGATTGTTGGAATTGCTGTACCGGTTAAACAGAACAATTTTTTCTTTGTTATTTTATAAACAACACTGAATATTCTTGCCATCTATCTGCCAATATTACGATTACCAAGGTGTGTACTCCTAAGTCATGAGCCATCCTTTTTTGTTACGTTTTATTTATCATACAGTTACAAAGCTCCGCTAGAATGCTGTGTTTTGGAAGCAGTATTTTCAGTGATAACCTTTGGATATAACTGATATGTACTATTTGTGTTCTGTCAAGAATACTGTTGAAAAAACAACAAAAGATTGGAATATTTTATTTTTTACTTTTTTTTTTTCATTTTTATTTTTTTGACTAGATAATAGATTTTTTTTGCACAACAATAGTAACAACAACATTAAAGTACATATAAGATATACAGATAATAAATGCTTATAACATCTTACACTGCTGCTTTTCTTGGAGAATCCCACAGTCCGTGACCTAGTCTTTTGGAGGAAAACGAAACTACGTGAAATCAAATAGACTAACAACAGTCATCTCATTTCTTGTTATTCTTTCTACAGTATAATACTTCCATATCTGATCAGAACAAAAAAAACCAAAAAAAAAATTTTTTTTACTTTTTTGGTTTTGAAAACCACTTTAAATTTCTTTCCTGCTTTCTAAGCTGATTATTTATAAACCTTTCAGCAATTACAACAACTTTTTCAGTGCATGAAAATCCGATAACCAGGTTCCGGCAACTGCATGGTACCGACTTGCAGCACTTGATAAAAATATTACCCTAAGTATCCAGCTGATTATGCAAATTTTCTTCTGCATTTTCTTCTAGCTAGACATACGTCATCGTAGAATGAGCATGATTTTGATGAGCAAATACAGCTAAAGGAGGTTGTCGAGGCGACGTTTCGCTTCCAGGCCGATTTTTAATCTCTCTGCAAATTACAAAATCATTACTGATTTTGAACTAGTCAAAATGTTTCAACGTTGCTTCCGTACAATAATTTTCTGTTTTATCATAAAAGTTTTAGATGATTGTCGAAACTAGTGGTTTAAACTTGAATTTCTCACATATTTCTTCAAAAAAGTTGGATATCACATACCTAAATCGAGGTATCAATCTAGGACTATTCCATAGCCTACTTGGGGCTGTACCATACCCACTTTCGCGACCATTTTCTCCAGAATGACGCGATTTTCGA